TGGACGTGGTCCTGGAACAGACGCCCCCGGCTCCGGACGAGGTTGGCGCCGCCGGGAATGGGGGATGCCCTGTGCGCCCACACGCGTGTGCATGTGCGCTGCTGGGCATGGACACGCTCGGCAGCCATGGAGATGGGGTACAGGCGCGGGGCACATGGTCTGAGTCCTGGCTCTGCCCTCCCCCCTCCTGCGCCTGAGGAGGCGGCAGGGCAGCTGCTGGCAGGAGCCAGGGGGCTCTGCTCACACCCCTGCCCAGGCGGGTGCTCAGCCCCGGGCTGCTGTCTCCCTTGCCCGCTGGCACCCGCTGCCCGGAGGCCTGTGGGTGAGGCCCGGGCCCTGCTGTGCAGGGACTCGCTCACCGTGTGTTCTAGTGCCAATGAGGAGGATGGGAAGGCAGGGGCAGGGCCAGGATCACATGGAGGGGGCTCGGAGTGGGCACACTGGGGCCACCGGCGCTTCTCGCTGCAGGCGGGCGGTCAGAAAGTTGGCACTGGGTCCCCTGGCGCTTGGACGGCGGGTGAGGTTTGGGCAGAGATGGCGGGCACTCACCATCGGCGTTGGGAGCACCCACTGCGTGCCGCCGGTCCCCAGGCACTGTGTGCGCCCGCCATTCGATTGTCACGGTGAATCGAACACTGTTCTTGTCCCTTCCCAGGCCTAGGACCCTGAGGAGCTGCCCCGGCCCACAGGGGCGGGCACACAGGGGGCGCTCGGACCTGGTGGACAGGGTGGCCCAGGCCCAGGCCCAGCCTCCAGGCAGGGCTGCCCTCCACTCGTCCCGGCAAGAGGTGACGCGTTTGGCCAGCCCCGAGGGAGGCGCGGGGGCCGAGGGGTGGGTGGACGCGAAGATCTCCAGGCTTCAGGGCAGGGCCCCGAGGCAGGCCTGGGTGTCCACGGCACCCTCCCCGCACACAGTGGCCCTGCCCCCCACCCCTACCCTGCCTCTCCTGCCTCCCCTCCCCCCACCCCACCCCCCGCCTCCCCAGGTTCCCCTCCCGCCCCCCGCCCCCCTGCGGATCATCGCAGGCCTGCGTTCCTGCTGGGATTTAGTTCATCTTCCCGGCTCCGGCTCCCTTCCTGTGTCCTCCACCCTCTCCTCTCGGCCTCGCCAAATTCCACGTTTAAAAATAACCTCGAACACGGGAGCGGTCCCGGCTGACCGGGCAGAGGCAGAGATGATGGCGGGTGCCATCGGAGCTCGGAGAGCCGCCCATCCGGAATGTTCCCCGCTGTCGGAGTGACTGGGGGCCGGTCCCCGGTTTGCAGAGACAGTGAAGCTGGAGGTCAGTCTGACCTGTCCGTGCTGTGCTTCCCGGCCTCGCAGTGCGGAGGGCGGTGCGTTTGGAGGCGGGCGGCCTCCGGTCTGAGCAGCTGAGCGGCTGTGTGACCTCGGCCAAGTCACTGCACCTCTCTGAGCCCAACCCAGAGACTGCCCACCCCGGCCTTGGTCCAGCAGCCCCAGGAGGGCCAGAGCCTGAGCCGACGGGACAGACAGCCTGTCCTGGTGGGGACACCTGTGCCGAGCAGAACCCGCACACCCGCCCGCCCGCAGGGTCGCCGCCCACAGGCCCCTCCGGCGGACGGAGCAGGGCGTGGGGGCCACCGCGTGGTGGTGGGCGCTTGTGCCCAGTGCCCTCGGGCAGTAGCCCCATCTCGTCCACAGCCCGTGGTCAGCGAGCAGATGCGGAGAGAATCAGTGAAGGGACAGTGAGTTAACACGTTGGTGACAGAGGAGGTGGAAGAGGCCTCAGTGGAGATGCTCTCCTTACAGCGGAGGGAATCCGGGCAGTCTTCCCGGAGGAGGTGGCATGGAGCTGCCTCAGAGTGACCGCCTCCCCCATCCATGCAGGGCCTGCGGGGGGGGGCGGGGCAGGAGACGGGCGGGCACGTGGCAGAAGCGGCCTCCACTCCCGCCGGCTCTCAGGTTTGAGCCTCAGGCCACAGCTGGGGCAGCCCCCCAACAGGGCCAGGGGGACCAAGGCCTCCCCTCTAGAAGGGGCAGCAGTGGGGGGGCATCTCTGAGGACCCCCCTCCCCCGCAGTGCCTGTCCAGGGCGGGGCCCCAGGCTCCGGTGGAAATCGTCCTAAGCGCCTCCTAAGGCTTTAATCTCCTCCTGAGCCTGAGGGCGGCTGGGAGGACACCAGCTCCAGCAATTCGGCAGCTTACAGCCGCGGGCAGAGCGGGCTCCGGGGGGCAGCGGGCAGAGTGGAGAGGAGAGGAGAGGAGAGGAGGGGAGGGGAGGGGAGGGGAGGGGAGAGGCCTGTGGACACAGACAGCAGAGGAACGCCCCAAACCCCCGCCCGGGAGTCCTCATCACCGCCACTGCTCACTGCCCCTGCCACTGCCCACTGCCCCTGCCCGTGCTGCTGGTGAGGAGACCAAGAGCCTGAGAGCAGGCAGGGCCGAGGCTGTGCTCCTGCCCTTGGCCCTGAGGCTGGGCCGGTCTCCTTGCGGAGGCCCTCGCTCCGGGCTGCCCTTGGCTCCCGGCTCTGCTCCAGGACCCGCACGGCCTGCCTGGCTGGCGTCCCTGTGCTCCCTGCCGGCGGCCAGGTTTGGGAGTGAGGACAAGCCGGCTCACTGGCGGCCCTGCAGCCAGAGGGGCCGCTCCGGGGCAGCGTGGCGCCTCTCAGCTCCTCTCCCAGCGCTGACCTCACCGGGGCCCCCAGGGGCTGGAGGTGGCACCGGCACCAGCACCAGGATGGAGGGCAGGGGCCCACGGGAACCCGCTGAGCGGACGGGCAGCCTGGCCAGGGGCCTCAGGGTCCCCACGCAGGCGGTGCGGCCGGCTCTCACCTCACACCCTGCGCCCAGGGAGCGGGAGCACCCCGCCCCCGGGCTGCCGGGCCGCGCTCACAGCAGACTGAGCTCCCCCAGGCCAGGCTGATCTCCCCGAGATCGCCCCCCGCAGGCCAGGCTGCTCAGGGCTGCTCCTGTGGAGCCCGCCAGCGGCTGTCCAGCCGCTCCCAGCCTCGGGGGGCGGGGGGCGATCTCGGGGTTTGCTCCGCCTCCACCTCCTCCTGGTCCTGCGCCCTCTCCCTGAGGCCCCGGCATGCTGGGCGGGGCCATCCTCTCAGTCTGACCTCATCGGAATCACACCTGCCTCAGCCGGGTTCCCAACGAGGCCCATTCTGAGCGCCTGGCCTTAGGGCTTCCCCACACGATTCATATGCCATAAGGCCCCGAGTCCAGCAGGAGGAGGTGCTGTATTCACCCCTCCTGCCTCTGCACCCCTCCCTCCCACCCCACTGGCTGCACTGCCTCTGCGGCTCCACCTCAGGGCCTTTGCACTGGCTGCACCTGGCCCCAGTGCGCCTCCTGAGAGCCACACCGCGGTCCTGGCCTCACTCCTGTCTGCTGGGCTGTCTCCTCCCAGTGAGGCCACCCCGACCTCCCTAACAGTCCGCGTCCGTTCTCTACACACTCACACACTCACACTCACACACACACTCTCTCTAACACACACACACTAACTCACACTCACATACACCCATACACACACTCACACACATACTCACACAGACACACACACACACTCATACTCACACACACACTCTAACACAGAGACACACTAACACACACTAACTCACACTCACCTACACCCATATACACACTCACACACACACTCACACACACACTCACACACTCACACTCACACACACACTCTCTCTAACACACACACATACTAACTCACACTCACATACACCCATACACACACTCACACACTCACACAGACACACACTCACACACACACTCTCTCTAACACACACACACTAACACACACTAACTCACACTCACATACACCCATACACACACTCACACACACACTCACACAGACACACACACACTCTAACACACACACACTCACACACACACACATACACCCATACACACACATACACCCATACACACACTCACACACACACACACACATACACCCATACACACACTCTCACACACACACACACACTCACACACACACACACATACACCCATACACACACATACACCCATACACACACTCACACACACACAGACACACACATACACCCATACACACACTCTCACACACACACACACACACTCACACCCACACACACATACACACACTCTCACACACACACACACTCACACTCACACACACCCCTTGCTTTATCGCCCTCCTGGCCTTTTCATGGCGACACGATGCACACAACATGCTATTTTCCACGTCCGCCCGCTCAGTGCACAGCTCAGGGGCAGCGAGCACCTTGGCTTTGTTCCGCCGCCTCCACTGCCATCGTCTCTAGAACTTTCTCACCTTCCCCACAGAAGCTGCTCCTTAAGCACCAACCCCATTCCTCCTCCCCCCCAGCCCCCGAGACCGCCGCCGGCTCTGTGCACTCGCCTGCTCCGGGCCTCCCGTCCGTGGACGCCCACACACGTGTCCCCGCGAAGGCCCACCCGCTCGGCGGGTCCTCGAGGTTCACCCGTGGCACCGACAGCACTGCCTTCCTCTCGGGGCTGCAGCCTGGTCCGTGGCTCCTCCATCCACCCGTCCACGGCCACGTGGGCTGTCTGCCCCGTTGGGCTCCGTCTGCTCCCGGGGTGTGCCCTCTGGGTGTTTGACGTGTCTCCGCCTCGGAGCTGTCCGGCCTCCGTAGGCCGCGGCTGTGTCCCTGACGCCAGACGCGCACTGTGGCCGGGTCATGAGTATCACGGCTCGAGGACGGCAGGCCAGGGTGTGCACACCGGAGGGGCGGGCGGTCCTCCGTCCCCGAGTCCGCCCGCCCCTCCGCCCCGCACCCGCCCTGCCCGTGGCCTCCCGCCCCGCCCCGCCCCCCACGTTCCCTCCGCCACCTGAGCCGGCCTCTGATTAAGTCCCCTCCTGCTGAGAAGAGGAGGTGACAGCGGACGGCGGGGGAGCCGTTCATTCCAGAGAGGAAATTGGATGGCGCGTCTCCGTCCTCCCCACCCCGCCGCCCGCCGCCCGCCGCCCACACCGCCTCCCCCTCTCCCCGCAGGCAGCTCCGGACGGCCCCATGCCAGCCAAACGATGACCAGTTGTGGCCAGCGGTCCCTGAACGTGCTCACCGTCCTCTCGCTGCTGGTCTCGGCAGGTAGCGCCCGGGGGAGACATGGGGAGACGTGGGGGGCAGAGTCCCTTCTGAGGCCACGGCCAGCCCAGCCCGGCCAGGATTCCGGGTGCTGACCGGGGTGCCCACTGCCCCCCCATCTCCGGGAGGAGCTGCTGCGCTGCACACACCTGCCTGGCACAGGGCTGCCGGCGGCTGGGAGGGGCCTCATTGGTTCTCTCCCGCCTCCCCCTGCAGGCCAAGGCCAGGGGATGAGTGGGCACCCCATTGGGCAGAGAGGACACTGAGGCTGGGGGAGGGCGGGGCAGGCCCCTGAACCCTGGCAGCGTGACCCTGGGCCCCACCCCGGGGCCCGGCTCCTGGGTTGCAGGTGGGCTCTGCCCTGTGTCCAAGATGGGCAAGGGCCGGGCCCTCGGCTTCCAGAGCAGAGTGCTGGCCCCGAGGCACCCTGACTCACAGCAAGGCTGGCCCCACGCCGCCCGACTGAGGCCCGACCTGAGCCAGCCCCCCCTCTTGTCTCTCCCTCCCTCTCTGTCTCTGTCTCTGTCTCTGTCTGTCTGTCTGTCTCTCTCTTGCCATCTGTCTGTTTCTCTCTATGTCACTCTCCCTGTGTGTTTCTCCCTCTTTCTCCCTTCCCCTCTCTGTCTCTCTCTCTGTCTCTGTCTCGGTCCCCTATACCCCTGCTCACCCCCTAGGCCAGGGCTCCCCAGCCCCAGCCCATCAGTCAGCATCTCCTCCGGCTGCCCCCCCTCCCCCACCCCAGCCCAGCGCCCGGCTCAGGAGGCCGCCGAGGGGCCCCGAGCCGCTGTGCTGAGTCCTTAGAGCACATGTGTCAAACACAAGGCCCGCGGGCCAAATCCGTCCCGCCAGGCCTTGCAATGTGGCCCGCACCGCGCTGTCATCACTGCACTCCGCTGCGTTTCCATCACAATGACAGTTTATGACTGTTCAGTAAACCATTCGGCCTGCGATTTAGGCTGGATTTTAGATTTTGGCCCCTTCTCTGATTGAGTTCGACACCCCTACCTTAGAGGATGAGACTCTGAGCCCCGCTCTGTGCCTCGGTTCCCGCGTGGTGGGAGCCCACGGGGTTAAGAGAAGGTGCCCCCTCCTGAGCCCACCCAGGGTCCCCGCACCCCAGAACGGACAGAGGCTGAGAGGGGCCTGGAGCTCCCTGATCCTGAGACCTGGGACCCCTCCCACAGCGGCCCTGCCGTCTCCGCGGAGAGGGTGCTGAGTGGGGCGGGGCCCGGGCCTCACAAGGCCGCCAGGCGGCTCCCTGGGACCTGGCAGCGGGGGCCAGGGCTCTGGCCCCGGGGCCTGGAGAGATGTAGTCGCCAGGGGCCTCCTCAGCGCAGATCGGACCCAGCGGCCCTGCTGCAGAGACAAATGGAGCTGCCAGTGCTCCAGGGCCTCCCCACTGGTGTGTCTGTCCGGGCCTCCTCCCCGGTGACCTCCAGGGGCCCCGCTGGCAGCGGCCGTCCTGGGTGGGCAGCAGCGTGGGGCTGAGCAGGGCCCCTCCTAGGCCAGGGCAGCTGGCACTGGCGGGGAGGGGCACGGGGCAGCCCCGGGGACCGGAGCTTTCGTGGAGAGCCAGGGGGGCGGGGTGCCCTTTCTCCACAGGGGGCCGGTGCTTGCCCGCATGCTACTGCCCCTCAGCAGCCTGGGCCTTCGGCCGGTCCCCAGAGCAAGCTGCAGCAGGGATGGAGCGTGGAGGGGCTCAGGCAGGCAGGCCTGAGGGCTCCCCGCCACCTGCCCCGCCAGCTCAGGCCTCCGTTTCTGCATCAGGCCGGTAGAGGTGGATTCAGTGAGACAGCCGGTGAGTCCACAGCTAAGTGGCCTACTGTGTGCAGAGCGGCCAGAGAGGGTCCCAGGAGGCAGCAGCTGTCACCGCCCCGGGGAGGGAGCCGCAGTCGGGGGGCACAGTGTAAGCAGGGCTGTCGGGAAGGACAGAGGTGAGGCTGGCACTGGGCCCCCACGCCCGGCGCTCAGGCCTTGACCCTGTGTTCCAGTCTGGTCGGCGCACTTCCGGGTGTGCGAGCCGTACATGGACCACAAGGGCCACTACCACTTCGGCTTCCACTGCCCCCGGCTCTCGGACAACAAGACCTTCGTCCTGTGCTGCCACCACAACAACACGGTCTTCAAGTACTGCTGCAACGAGACCGAGTTCCAGGCGGTGATGCAGGCCAACCTCACGGCCAGCCCCGAGGGCTACGCACACAAGTAGGTGCCACGCCGGCCACGCCCCTGCGCGCGGCCTCCCCCGCCCCCTGGGCTGGTGTTGGGTGCCGGGGCCTGGAAGGGACCTGGGAGAGCTCGGGAGACCCGGTTCTGTCCTCTGAGCTTTAGCCTTTCCATCTGAGAAATGGGCACACAAGGCCTGCCTTTCCTGCCTGCTACAAAATTAAGTGAAGGAAGTTGGTGGAAGGCTTGTAGGCAAAAGCCCTTGGGCCCGGAATCCACAGACCCAGGTTCCTTTCTTCCTTCGTTATTTGTTCAACAAATACGATTGGTCTCTTGACCCAGAGATTAGGCTGACAGCCTCTGTCCGTAGGGTGATTAGGACAGGGCCCTGATGGAGGGGACCGTGATGGTGTAAAGAAAGGAGCTCCCAACCGAAACCGGTGTGGCTCAGTGGATAGAGCATCGGCCTGCGGACTGAAAGGTCCCAGGTTTGATTCCGGTCAAGGGCATGTACCTTGGTTGCGGGCACATCCCCAGTAGGGAGTGTGTAGGAGGCAGCTGATCGATGTTTCTCTCTCATCGATGTTTCTAACTCTCTGTCCCTCTCCCTTCCTCTCTGTAAAAAAATCAATAAAATATATTAAAAAAAAAAAAAGAAAAAGAAAAAGAAAGGAGCTCCCGCAGAGCAGCAGTGGGGAGATGACAGACATGGCGTGTCTTTCTCTCATTGTGAGTGACACTGAGCATCGTTTCACACGTTTGAGGGCCATCTGTGTTTCTTCCACTGTGAGCTAGCTGTTCATGTCCTTCCTCATTTCCTTATTGCATTTTTGGCCACCTTCTTATTTATTTAAAGGAATTCTTTATATGTGAAGGAGCTATGCATTACAAATATTTTCTCAATGAGCCTGAGTTTGTGATTTTTTTTCTCATGACTACTTTTTCATTGTTATGTAATCAAATTGTATCTAATTTTTTTCTGTGTATTTTTTTTTTATGTCTTCTGGGTTTTATGTTATACTGAGAAAGGCTTTCTGTACTGTGAGATTATTAAATTTTTTCTTTTTTACTTCTTTTATGTTTTAATTTTTTGACTTAAAATCTTTTTTTTTTCCTGTTTGTTTTGTTAATCCTCACCTGAAGATATTTTTTTCCATTGCTTTTCAGAGAGAGTGGAAGGGAGGGAGGGAGAGAGAGAGAGAGAGACATCAATATGAGAGAGACATGTTGACTTGTCGCCTCCGGCACACGCTCCAACTGGGAATTGAACCTGCAATGTAGGTAGGTACCCTGACTGGGAATTGAACTCACAACCTTTTGGTGTGCGGGCTGACACTCCAACCATCTGAGCCACCCAGCTGGGCCCATTAATGTGTTTTAAAGTCTTCTTGGTTTGCTTTCCATGAACTCTAGGATTAGCTTGTGTAGTAACCCTGACCCGGCCCCTCAGTGACCCGGGAGGAGGAGGCGAGGCGAGGAGAGGCTGAGGGACTGCCTGATGGAGGCAGCGGTCAGTGGTGAGCGGTCAGCGGTCAGCGGTCAGTGGGCCGGGAGCAGCCCCGGTCTGCAGGAGGCAGGTTTGAGCAGCAGAGGCCAAAGGTGGGGACCCCCACAGCAGCTGCCCTGGCCGCCTGGGGGAAGGCCGGGCATGAGGGGAGCAGCTGCGGCTCAGAGGGTGAGGACCTGCAGGTGCTGGCACCGCACACACGGCACACACCGCACACCGCAGAGCCGGGCTGGCCCCCGCTGCTCTGGCCTCAGCACTGCCTGTGAGCATGGGGAGGGGAGATGAGGGAGTACGGGGAGGGGGGACGGCGATGGCAGTAATGCCCCTCGCCGTCTGAGTGTTGAATGGGCTGAGGTGTGAGCCTTCAGGGCAGTGGCCACTGCGGCTCCTTCATCACTGTCACCGCTTCTTGGTCCGGAGGCTCCGGGCCCAGCAGGTCCAGCGCCCTCTGAACCCACCTCCCCCCGCCCCCTGCTTGGCGTCACAGACTCCCCTCTGCAGGGCATGTCTGCCCACAGCTGCTCCTGCCTCCCCTCCCGCTGCCTCACACCCCCCTCCGGGCTGCTGCCATGGGAACGCGGGGAAGCTGGTGCTGAGAGCAGCTCTGTGGGGGCCAGGGAGAGGGGAGAGGGCGCTGGGCAGAGCAGTGGTGTCAGCAGCAGCCCCCCTCTCTGCGGGACGTCCCCCCAGGACTCCGGCCCCCGCAGCACAGTCTGGAGCTGCCTGGTGACAAGGACCGAGTGAGGAGGGCACAGAGGGCAGTATGAAAGGCCGGTGCCAGGGCAGCCAGGACCAGGGACTGTTGCATGGGGCATGGGGCGCAGAGCGTGTGTGTGTGATGGGGGCTGGCCCAGGGTGGGTGCCTGGCTGAATCCCACCGCCTGTGGGGGTGTGCGGTGGCCCATGGGGGTGTGCGGTGGCCGGTGGGGGTGTGCGGTGGCCGGTGGGGGTGTGCGGTGGCCGGTGGGGGTGTGCGGTGGCCCATGGGGGTGTGCGGTGGCCGGTGGGGGTGTGCGGTGGCCGGTGGGGGTGTGCGGTGGCCGGTGAGGGTGTGCGGTGGCCGGTGGGGGTGTGCGGTGGCCGGTGAGGGTGTGCGGTGGCCGGTGGGGGTGTGCGGTGGCCGGTGGGGGTGTGCGGTGGCCGGTGAGGGTGTGCGGTGGCCGGTGGGGGTGTGCGGTGGCCGGTGGGGGTGTGCGGTGGCCGGTGGGGGTGTGCGGTGGCCGGTGGGGGTGTGCGGTGGCCGGTGGGGGTGTGCGGTGGCCGGTGGGGGTGTGCGGTGGCCGGTGGGGTGTGCGGTGGCCGGTGGGGGTGCCGAGGGCAGGGGACACGGCTCTGGACCTAGGGCCGGTTTGTCCTAAGACAGCAGACTCCCTGCACTTGCCCTGGGCCCGTACGATGGGGAGGAGCTGGCATCCCAGGAGGCGGGGAGCATGAGCAGAGGCCCTGGGTGGGCAGCAGGGGGCACCCACACAGACCGCTGGCAAGTCTGCGAGTGGCTCCCATGTGGGGGGGGGCAGAGGGTGAAGGCAGGGTGCACCCCATCCTGGGAGCCCACAATGCCAACGGAGAATTCCCGCCCAAAGGGAAATGGGACGGCTTCCCAGGTTCCCACGGTCTGGTCGAAGGCTTAACAGTGCCCCTCCCGCCCCCCACGAAGGACCTGGGGTGAGGGGCGCTGCTCCGGCTGGGACAGGCCTGGGGCAGAGGACCAGGATGTGGAGGAGGCAGACGGGCCGGTGGGGAGAGGAGGAGGAGGGTGGGCACAGGGAGAGGGAGCCAGACTCCGCACCCCCTCCTCTCCGGGACCCCGGAACAGCCCGGGCCCCGTCCTAAGCAGCCGCGCCGGTCCCCCGGCTGTGCTCCCCACTCAGCCGCTGTCCTCTCTCCGCAGCAACTACACGGCGCTGCTGGGCGTGTGGAGCTACGGCCTGTTCGTGCTGACGCTGCTGGTCCTGGACCTGCTCTACTACTCGGCCATGAACTACGACGTGTGCAAGGTGTACCTGGCGCGCTGGGGCGTGCACGGCCGCTGGATGAAGCCGGACCCGCGGCGCTGGGGGGGGCCCGCCCAGGGCGCCCGGCCGGGCCCGCCGGCCCCGCAGCCCGCGCCGCCCCCGGGCCCCCTGGCCCCCGCCCCCCCGGCCCAGCACGCGCCCCAGGGCGCCCCCCGCAGCCCGCTGCCGGTGGCCTTCCAGAGCTCCTCCGCCTGGTGAGTGCTGGCAGGGGCCGGCCGCCCATCACTCGGCGTTGACCCGTGGGCGCGGGGAGAGCCAGATCGCGTGTTTGCCTTGTCCACTGCCCGGTCCTCTGCCGAGAAAGACCGAGGGGGGGGGGGCCCGGGCGGGAGAGTCGGCTGGGGGGTGGGCGCGGGTGTGGGAGCTCAGCCTGGGGTTCATTGCGCTGAGCGCTGGTGAGCGCACTGCCGCTGAGCGTCAAACTGCGCGTGAGCTTCCTGGCGGCCAAGGCAAAAGGGGCAAGTGGGGGCTTTCCGACGTCTCACCCTCTGGCCGGAGGAAGGGGTCAGCCTGCGACCGGCCGGGCCATCTTTCCCGGAATGCAATGGGACAGTGAGCCTGTGGGGGTCCTGGGGCTTCCGTGGTGGGTGCGCTGAGTCACAGGGAGGCATCAGGCTGCGCAGGCAGCGGTGCAGTGACCCTGCAGGAGGGAAGGGAGCCAGCAGGAGGGGGGGGTCCCAGGGATCAGCTGTGTGCGGGGCTGCCGAGCAGTGTGCTCCCATCCATCACCTCTGCTGCGACTCCCGTGTCTGAGCAGCCCCCGTGGGTGGAGGCGGGGAGGCGCGAGTGGGGGAGGAGGGGCTGTCCCGGGCAGTGCAGAGCTGGAGGAGGGAGGAGATCTGTGCCTTTGGAGCAGAGAGCCACCGTGCAGCTGGCAGGAGCCCGGCTGGTGCAGGTGCCCCCGTTCAGGGCTGGGGTGAGGGGTGCCGCTCAGTGGGGGCTGAACGGCAGCCGGGGGCACAGTATCCCAGGACATCACCATGCTGAGCCCTGTTTGCAAGACTGAGGCGCAGCCCTGGCCGGCGTGGCTCGGGGGGTGGGGCGTTGGCCCGGGCACCGGAGGGTGCTGGTCTGAGTCCCCGTCAGGGCACAGGCTGGGGTGCGGGCTTGGTCCCCGGCTGGGAGCACACAGGAGGAACCATCGGTGTTTCTCTCCGCTCTCTTCCTAAAAACCAACAGCAGCGTGACAAACGTGGAGGTGCAGAACGGCACCGCAGTGGTCACTGCCAAGGCTTTAACTTTTCCAGGCAAACACCGACCCGGGTTCAAGTCCCGCTCTGCCCTTTACCAGCCCGAAACCTCAGCCGGCCCCGCCACCCCTCCCCTCCCAGTCCCTGCGCCCCGGCGTGTCCTCAGGGTGAGCGCGCAGAGTAGTGCTCAGGTCGCCGTGGCTGCGTCCTCACCGGGGAGCCACAGGCCGGCAGGACCGTGTGTTAAGTGGCTAACGGGCAGGACCTTTCCCATGAGGAGGGAGTAAATAATTAATAAGCGCAGCTAAATCAGCCGTGCTCATCGATCCGGTAATGGCCCCATCGGTCTCGCCGGAGACAAAGCCGCTGTGCTCAGCCAAGTCTGACAAATGTCCGTGAAGCCGGCCCCGGGGGCGGGGAGGGGGCGGGAGGACGCAGGCCCCCCCAGAGCACAGACAGGGAGAGGCTGCGGGCCCGGCTGGGAGGGGGCTCTGAAAGGCGGGCCTGGGGCGGCAGACACGCGGGGCTGCTGGGCACGGAGAGCGCGCCACCGGCTGACAGCCAGGCCAAGCCAAGGCGTGTGTGTGCGTGTGTGTGCGTGTGTGCGTGCGTGTGTGTGTGTGTGTGTGTGTGTGTGTGTGTGCGTGTGTGTGTGTGTGTGTGTGTGTGAGAGGCCAGGACGCTCTGCTGTGTCCCTTCCGGAGCCTCCGGGGGGCACTGCGCCCGGGTCCCCTCTCACTTTCCGCTCCAGCCTCTCTCTCTCTCCCCGCCCCATCCTGTCCTGCTCTGGGATGTGGGTGAGCCCGCGTCTCCGGCTCCTGGAGGCCTCCCACCCCCCACCCCACCCCGGCCCCCGTTTCCCTGCACACAGGGAGCAGGGCACAAGAAAAGACCACATGGCCCTTGAAAAAAGTCACGTGACCCTGCAGGTGTCATGTGGCCCAAGGAAGAACCAGGCCTCTGCCCTGCCCTCCTCCCCCTCCCCTGTGCCTCTGCGGGCGCCTGAGCTCCCCCAGCCCCTCTTCCAGGTGGAACACTGTGTCCCTTCCTCCGGGCAGTGCGCCAGTCCGGCTCTGCCCTCTGAGGGGGGCACCGCCAACAGGGAGGAAGTCTGGGAGGTAGCAACGTGCCCCCCAGAGCCCCCGTCAGAGCCTCCTCTCCCTCTGTCCCTGCCCCGAGGGCCACCTCCACCCACAGAGGCTGGGGCCCCGGGCACAGCGCCGGGGCCGAAGGAAGGACCGGGGTCCTGGCCGGTCCCTCCGTGCGAGAGCCTCGCCGGGACCGGGGCGCAGCTCCATCCGGTCACCCTCCTCAGGCGGCTCCAGCCCCGCCGGAGAGGGCCACGCGGGAAGCACACCCATCGGAATGTCCCCGGCACCCGATGTCCCCCCCCACTCTCTCTCTAAAAACCAATGGGGAATGCCCTCGGGGGAGGATTAACCTCAGAGAGGCAGGACAGTGACCCTCAGGTGGCCCCGGGCTGTGCTGGTGGCCATGCCCGCTCGGACCTCGGAGCGAGCGGAGACGCTGTGCAGGGACCGGGGCATCAGAGTCCACATCCCTCCAGTCCTTCCGCCCGGGGGTCCCGCAGCGCCTCACGCCGCCCCCCTCCGCCCCGGAGGTCCGGGGTTCCCAGGAGGGCCAGATGTGCCCAGAGAGGCCAGGGAGGCCCGGCGGCTGGCCCCAGCTCAGAGGTCCTGTTCGCTGGCCTTAACCATTCTCTCCCCGCCTCAGCCGCCTCCGCCCTCAGCCGTCCCCGAGCAGCAGCCCCGTTCCTTCCTCTGTGCCCAGTTCAGCACTGAGTGCCCGGCTCCTGAGGACACGGAGGGCGTGCAGGCCTGCCGGCTCCCTCCTTCACTCACAGCTGCCCATAAATCCGCACATAAATCTGTGTCCGGGCTTTTAATTCGCATCACGTCTGGTGAGCTTCCGCCTGACCGGCCGGTCCGTGGCCACCGCTGTGCTGGCTGCCATCCAGAGGTGATGGACGGCCATCGCCGGTGACCCAGGCCTCGCTCTGAGGCTCCTGCTCCCCGCCTGCCCTGGCCCCCCGTCCGCTCTCAGAGGCCTGCCGGCCTGGACAGGAGGGCGCTGGGTCCCCGCCCTGAACCCCCACCCCTGCCCAGGCCGGGCCACCCATGGCCCACCTCGCTCCCCCAGAAGCCGAGCGCCAGCCTGTGAGCCACGCGCGGCCTCGCCCTCTCTTTCCCCCAGGCAGGACGCGGAGGGGCAGGCCACGCCCGGGTTCAGCCCGCCCCCCGGGGCTCCAGCTGGAGGGCCTCCGGCCACAGGCGGCGGAGCCGACCCCTCACCGGGTGGGGCGGGGCTGGGGGCGGTCAGCTGTGCCCTCTGGCCTTGGGCCCTCTGGCCAGAAATCTCGGTGCCTGGCGAGGGTTTCCAGGGTGAGCCGGAGTTTCCGGAGCGGAGGACGGCAGCCTGGCTGAGCAGCTCAGGCTCCTCCTTCACCGGGGCCTGCCCGGGCGTCACGGGTCCGAGCGGCCTGCCCGCCAGCAATGGCCCGCGCCCACCCTGCCCCTCCCCTCGTGCCCGTGGTCTCCTCAGGGGGCGCACTGCCTGCTGGTGTGTGCTCTGCGGCCTGCGGTGCGCTCCGCTGGGCACCCAGAGCCGGGCTGGTCTGTCTGCTCCTCAGCACCCCCGCCCCCAGCAGGGGGAGCAGGCGCTCAGTGAGCGCGTGTGGAGGGCTGTGTCCTGGCCGGCCCGGGCCTGGCGCGTGTCCGCTTTAGGTTAGCTGCCCCCCCCCACACCGTCCCCCCCCACCCCTCCGCTCTCCTCCCCTCCCCCAGGGAAGTGTTTACACAGCTGCGGGTTTGCAGGGACACCGAGTGCGGCCACAGCATCTGTCCGCGTGGATGGGCGTCCTCAGTGGATCGCTGCCCGGGATATTGGTCCCCGTGGGGGTTATCGGTGCCCAGTGGGGGGTTATCGGTCCCCGGTGGGGGGTTAGTGGTCCCTGGTGGGGGATATTGGTGCCCAGTGGGGATTAGTGAGTCACAGGCCGGGCAGTCCTAGGGCTCTCTATGTCAGCTGGGGCACTCACCCGCAGCCTGCCTCAGCCCCGCCCTGGACCGGCTCCTCTGCCGGGCCCACCTCTCCTTTCCTCCGGTAATCACCGCCTCCTCTCCGGGCGCTGCCCGTTTATCTCCCCGGCCCCTACGACAGGCGGGAAGCAGTCATTTCCGCAAAGCCGCGCTGCTTCCCACGCCGTCCCCGTTCCTCTCGGCTGCGCGCCCCCCGCCGCCTCCTTAATGCGATTTTAATGGGCTTTCCATCACGTCTCCTTCCCAGAGAACCCCTGCGTGCTTCACGCCACCGTGTCCGAGGTTTAAGAGTTACTCAGCGTTCCCGAACGCCGTGCAAACAGAGCCAGGAGCGTGTGCAAGGGGTGTGTGTGCGGGAGGGGGGGGGGGGGACACGGCTCGCCCCGGCCCCTCAGAGCTGCCGGCTACGTTTGCAGGAATTGGGGGGGCTCCTGTTAAACAGCCACCGACGAAAATGGGATGATCCAAACGTCCAATTAAATGAACTGTATTAACACACACAGTAATAGGAACTCTCCCCTCCTGACTGTTTTTGCCACATTTGCTACCATCTCTGCCCCTGAGGGTTGACAAGTATCGCATGCAGACAGGGAGAACCTGGGTCGGTGGCTACCCGCACCTCCTCCCAACCCCGAGTCCGGTGCCATCCACTGGCAGGATTTACACCATAGGAATGGGCAGCAGCTGCTACATATTAGGGCTTGCCTCCCGCTGGCGAGCTGGTGTCCAATGTTTGCCGCCACCCACTGTCCTTTCCTGTGCCTGCGCTCACATATCCAGCCCCCTGAGTGGCCAGCCTGTGGAGAAGCGCCCGTGCTTTATGCCCCTGTGAGAGAGGAGCCAGTGTTCCCGGGACACCCACCGGCAGGCAGGGGCCATGGTAGCCGGGGCCGTGGGCAAGGTGATTCTGGAAGGAAAGGTGGTCCTCTGTGCAGCTCCTGGTCC